TTAGTCTGGGAACTAAAACACACCTACACTCGGGTGTTTCCGCCGAGCCAATCAGGCGAGAGGTGGGCGGAGCTTGTTACCGAACTCGGAAGCGACGCGTGAGGTGGGCGGAGCTTGCTACCGAACTCTGAAGCATTTGGCTCCATTGCCATCAAAGGGGTAGTTGGGACGTGAAACTATACAGCTTATGATTTACAAATATTTTCTATTTAAAACCATCTCTCCAGTGTGTATCGGTATAATAAAACGGTTAAAATATGGGGTTGAGGGATATAGCAAGTATCTGGTGTCCCTTGACCATGCCTATTTCNACTGTCCATTGGTCTTAGGCATTGCTATTGTTCAGTTATCTAAGGAAGGTCACTGTCCATTGGTCTTAGGCATTGCTATTGTTCAGTGATCTTAGGAATATCACTCTCCTGTCGTCTAAGGAAATCTGTCATTGCCAGTACTGCCTTTGTCAATCAGTTTGATGATATGCTGGCAAATGTCGACTTCTACCTTCACAAAGATGCGAACTTGCATTTGCTAAGGTATCATGGTCTGGTCCTGTTATTATCATCTCCTAGGCTGTGATGATGAGGTAGTTCCCACGGGATAGGTTTTCTAGCTCTTCTAGTTGTCTACGTGTTTATTTGATTGCCTATGTTAATTAAAGGTCGACTTTGTTAGCTCCTGTTAAAAGACCAGTTTTTATCATAAAACTTACTTACCCGTACGGTTCTTATTTCAAAGTTGCTTACCTGTATGGCTTTGACAGGTCGGTACTTATCCTAAAATTATATTTTTACATACCTTCATGACTATGGGAGCCCATGTTGACAGGCCGGTCCTTATCCCGGAAATTCCTGTTTTGAATGTCCTCATACAAATCCTCTTCTTCTTCATTTTCTACAATCTCCTCTGTAAAAAATGGACACGATGTTTACTGAAAAACCGACTGCAAACACAAGGGTGCTATGTAAGCTTATTTGGCATAAGGTCAGACGACGAGAGAATTACCACCAGATATTCATGTTGGCAGGAGTTTTAGAAATTGAAATTAGTGACCAAGTGCAGTTATCACTGCAGTGATGTCATATGTTATAACTGTGGTAATGTTATATGTTATAACTGTGCTGATGTTATATGTTATCAATAAGGTGATATTATCTGTTATCCCTATAGTTATGTTATTTGTAATTTAACTGTGGTGATGTTATATAGAGAAAAATACATGCCTTTTTCCATATCACACCCAGTATCAACCCGAGACTGCAATATCAGCACAAGGGCCGAAGGCCCGAGGGCTGATATTGGTCGAGGGTTGATACTGGGTGTGATATGGAAAAAGGCATGTATTTTTCTGTTTATTACATACTTCTAATAGAAGCTCCTATCTTATAATTTATTTTTCTTTTGAAATATTGAAAAACGAAAAATTTCCAAAAGGGGTGTGATACGGGTTTTGAGGGCTGATACGGGTTTTGCGGGCTGATGCGGGTTTTGGGGTGTGATACGGCGGGGGCCGATACGGCTTTTGTGCTGTGATACGGCGAGGGCTGATATGGGTAAGAGTAATTGTGTCGTATCGCATGTACAAAACAAGAGGCCCAATGGGCCTGCATCGCTCACCTGGTATAAATCTCACACTTGTAATCTTAAAAGAGATCTAAAATAAAGCTACAGGCAAAATATCAGAATTTATGATTAAAATTCATTCAAAAGTCCCATTTTTGTTTTTTTAAACATTTCACCCCTGTGATTGAAAGTCGAACCAAGTCATTATGTTGAACAAATTTTATAGCCTTTCATCTCAGGATGCAACTTGCAAAGTATCAACATCCTGGGACCCATGGTTATTCAGAAGAGGTCGTTTAAAGATTTTACAAATTTGACCCCTGTGACCTTGAATATAAGTCAAAGTCATTCACTTTAACAAACATAGTAGTCCTTGATCCCAGCATGCTACTGATTAAATATCAACATCCTGAGCCTTTTGGTTATTCAGAACAAGTTGTTTAAATATTTTGAACATATTTGCTCCTTGTGACCTTGAATATGATTCAAGGTCATACATTTGAACAAACTTGGTAGCCCTTGATCCTAGTATGCTACTGACTAAATATCATCACCCTGGGCATTTTGGTTATTCAGAAGAAGTTGTTTAAAGTTTTTAACATATTTGACCCCTGTGACCTTGAATATGGGTGAAGGTCATTCATTTGAACAAACTTTGTAGCCCTTCATCTCAGCATGCTACTGGCCAAATATCATCACCCTGGGCATTTTGGTTATTGAGAAGAAGTTGTTTAAAGTTTTTTTAAGACAATTGACCCCTGTGACCTTGAATACAATTGAAGGTCATTCATTTGAACAAATTTGATAGCCCTTTACCCAAGCATGCTACTGGCCAAATAACATCTCCCTGGGCAGTTTGGTTATTGAGAAAAAGATGTTTAAAGTTTTTAACATATTTGACCCCTGTGACCTTGAAAATGGGTCAAGGTCATTAATTTTAACAAACTTTGTAGCCCTTCATCCCAGTTTGCTTTTGGCCAAATATCGACACCCTAGGCCTTTCGGTTATTAAGAAGAAGTCGTTTAAAGTAAAATATTGACGCCGGACGGACGACGGACGGACGCCGCGCCACGGCATAAGCTCACTTGGCACTTCGTATTTATTAGTAAGTATGTAATATGTAAGTTATCACTGTCGGAATGTTATATGTTATCAAAAAGGTGATGTTATATGTTATAACTGTGGTGATGTTATATGTTATAATTGTGGTGATGTTATTTATTATGACAGTGCTGATGCTATTTATTATGACTGGGGTCAATATGTTGTTGAATTACATTTAGTTACTGGTAAGTGTTATTCGCCATCTTAACGGTGAGCTGAACTAACCGAGTGCAGAAACCGTAACGGTTATTATGCCATTGTCACGAGTTTTGGCAATTAACGTTAAACGTGTTCAGTGGTAATAGCCTGCTGATTATTGTCAAACGACGTATACAGAGACGCCCACTTATTTCGCTGGCGATGGATATTTTTAATTGTTATACTGTACTAGTGTACGTCATCACATGTGTGGTGACGCTGACTTACCTTCAATGAAAAAAGTGTTATACGTCATCAATATCGTGGTAATGCAGAAACAGCAACACACCAGCATAAACAGTCTGGAAACTCTATCCCCAGCCATGGTCGGCATGTCGGACAGGTCAGCATCACGTAGGACTCATCGTGTTGTCATCAGCAGCTGTCAACAGGAGGTCCGGTACAAAATCACACAGTATCTTATGGTCAGGGAGGCTGTATGTCAGGGTGACATCAGAACGTTCCCAGGTACAAAATCACACAGTATCTTATGGTCAGGGAAGCTGTATGTCGGGGTGACATCAGAACGTTCCCAGGTACAAAATCACACAGTATCTTATGGTCAGGGAGGCTGTATGTCAGGGTGACATCAGAACGTTCCCAGGTACAAAATCACACAGTATCCTATGGTCAGGGAGGCTGTATGTCAGGGTGACATCAGAACGTTCCCATGTACAAAATCACACAGAATCTTATGGTCAGGGAAGCTGTATGTCAGGGTGACATCAGAACGTTCCCATGTACAAAATCACACAGTATCTTATGGTCAGGGGGGCTGTATGTCAGGGTGACATCAGAACATTCCCAGGTACAAAATCACAGTATCTTATGGTAAGGGAGGCTGTATGTCAGGGTGACATCAGAACGTTCCCAGGTACAAAATCTCTCATTAACTTATGGTCAGGGAAGCTGTATGTCAGGGGGACATCAGAACGTTCCCAGGTACAAAATCTCTCATTAACTTATGGTCAGGGAAGCTGTATGTCAGGGCGACATTAGATCGTTCCTAGGTACAAAATCACACAATACCTTATGGTTAGGGAGGCTGTATGTCAGGGTGACATTAGAACGTTCCCAGGTACAAAATCACACAGTATCTTATGGTCAGGGATGCTGTATGTCAGGGTGACATCAGAACGTTCCCAGGTACAAAATCTCTCATTATCTTATGGTCAGGGAAGCTGTATGTCAGGGCGACATTAGAACGTTCCTAGGTACAAAATCACACAATACCTTATGGTTAGGGAGGCTGTATGTCAGGGCGACATCAGAACGTTCCCAGGTACAAAATCTCTCAGTATCTTATGGTCAGGGAAGCTGTATGTCAGGGCGACATTAGAACGTTCCTAGGTACAAAATCACACAGTATCTTATGGTCAGGGAAGCTGTATGTCAGTGTGACATCAGAACGTTCCCAACATAGTCCTGTATGCTGTATAACAGTAACTAGACACAAAGAATGAAGGGATGACAACAGATGGACAGACCGACATAGTAATTATAAAATGAGAAATGCATTTCTATGCACGTGCCAAAGCGACTCATTTGAAACTGCCGAAAGGAATAATAATCTTCAGAAATTATAATAAAATAACCCCTCTTTGGAAATTAATACAAGTATTTCATCAATAAACATTTGAGTTAGTGTATATACACGTATGCAATAAACATTATTCATTCACTTGACACTTTTTTCGTTAAAATTATGTATCGTATTAAAATCTTCTTGGTCAAATGAAGAAAAGTTGGAATATATAATACTGTTCGATAATGTAGTTGATTGATCCTCATAAGTGTTTGTTAGTCCTTGTATTTACTTTTTTCGTCTGCTTGTCAAGGTAGGGGAGGTAATCGATATGACGACACAAGGTAAGGTATATATAAAGTGCAAATATGCTTTATGTTAATAAAGCTCATTTGTGTAAATGTTCAGAGGTCAATAGAGCTGTGTAATTTATGTAGATATGGGTAAACATCTTAGATAGTTGAAACCCAGAAGTCAAGTAACATATGTACACATGTGTCACACATAACGAATATATACACGTGCGTCACACATATAGGGTATAGAGGAACGCCACGCGTACAGGGTATATACACACATATAGTATGTACGCCACACACACAGTACACGTACGGTACATGGGTAAACAACGTCCGTGTATTGGAGTACACAACCTGCGTATTTAGAATTTATGACACATCGAAACCCGAACAGCGACTTTATACATGCATACCATTATAGAAAAAACACCGATTATAAGTATGGTATATATGCACATTTAAGTGTAAATGAAGACGCGTATGCACCAATGGACAATGTGTGCTATATCAGCCACATTTCACCTGTGTTTACCTACAGTAATCGTCAGGTAATCGTGTGACATTTATTAGTCCACATGCGTCTTCAATTTCCATACTTACCGTGTTGTTGTGCTTTGTCCTCGGACATAACTAGCACCTTCGTACGTCTGTCGTGGCAGCCATGATTGCCGGTGAGAGTAAAATGACAAGTAGATAAGGATTGATCTCGATAAGCAGGTGTATATATTGTGTACAGGTGTGTTGTACACACGTGTGTATACTGCCTGGCTAGTACCCCGCAACCACATACGAATGTAACACAGGTATAACAATGAGATTATAAATTGAAGTAAGATGGTACGTGTACCTGTATCCTTCCTCCAATTCTCGTTAACACATATCGTCTGCTCAATGTTCTTCTGTCCTCCAGAGACGTATATACTGTATGTCTCTGTGTACTCCAAGTCACGCTTCCGTGATTCATGTCCTTTCGTCTATATATTAAAGGATTCAATGAGTAACGCGTCAGTTCAGATATATTTACCTGGGGTGTTCCTATGTATAGCCTGGCTACATACCTTTAGTCACCAATTTTCTACTGGAAAATGGCGTTGCCGTACATCGATGTATTGTTCAATGTTCGTATGATAATAACGATAGAAATGCAGCAAAGAGTGTATCAGTACTTGATGAACGCATCCTCTACACACTCCTATCTGATAGTAACATTGATACACCTGTTGGAATTGCTTGAATTGTTGGGCACACACACATTTACACATTTGGTATTGAGCTATTGTTAATTTAAGCCTATAGGCTATAGAACTATTGATGGGCCTTAATGCTGATGTCCAGTAATACCTGCTGTTTCAATTGAATGCTGTAAGAGGCGACCAATGTAGGAACTTCCTACAGAATTGGGGATTATCTGTCATCTACCTGGGAATATGAAAGCGACCAAGCCGAATATGATGCACCTACTGTTACATTTGGGATATTACTTGTTCTCTCTCTTTTCCTAATTCCTTTCGTAACCTTATTTCTTGCTTTGCAATTCCTCGCTTTTGGTCTACGAGTTGAGCGTTCACTCAAGAGAGGAATTATATGATACCTGTCCCCTGACCATGGTAAACCGAAGTTGTACTTACTGCCCTTTGTTTGACGTGTAGCTTAAATGAGTCGCGGTAAGAACTAGTTAGCCGGTAATCGGTATTAATGTGACAGAATGCAGTGTCGTGCTGTCGTGTCCAGGTATGGCATTTCTGTGACCGGTTGGAGTGTCATGCTGTCGTGTCCAGGTATAACATTTTAGTGACCGGGTGAAGTGTCATGCTGTCGTGTCCAGATATAGCATTTCAGTGACCGGTTGGAGTGTCATGCTTTCGTGTCCAGGTATAACATTCAGTCCAAGGTATGACATTTCAGTGACCGGTTGGAGTGTCATGCTGTCGTGTCCAGGTATAAAATTTCAATGAATGTGTGGAGTGTCATGCTGTCGTGTCCAGGTATGACATTTCAGTGACCGGTTGGGGTGTTATGCTGTCGTGTCCAGGTATCACATTTCAGTGACCGGTTGGGGTGTTATGCTGTCGTGTCCAGGTATAACATTTCAGTGACCTGGTGGAGTGTCAAACTGTCGTGTCCAGGTATAACATTTCAGTGACCGGTTGGGGTGTCATGCTGTCGTGTCCAGGTAGAACACAATAGTGACCGTGTGTAGTGTCATGCTGTCGTATCCAGGTATAACATTTCAGTGACTGGTTTGGGTGTCATGCTGTCGTGTCCAGGTATGACATTTCAGTTACCTGGTTGAGTGTCAAACTGTCGTGTCCAGGTACGTTCCCAGGTACAAAATCACACAGTATCTTATGGTCAGGGATGGTATAACATTTCAGTGACCGGTTGGGGTGTCATGCTGTCGAGTCCAGGTAGAACATAATAGTGACCGTGTGTAGTGTCATGCTGTCGTATCCAGGTATAACATTTCAGTGACCGGTTGGAGTGTCAAACTGTCGTGTCCAGGTATAACATTTCAGTTACCTGGTGGAGTGTCAAACTTTCGTGTCCAGGTATAACATTTCAGTGAATGTGTGGAGTGTCATGCTGTCGTGTCCACGTAGAACATAATAGTGACCGTGTGTAGTGTCATGCTGTCGTATCCAGGTATAACATTTCAGTGACCGGTTGGGGTGTCATGCTGTCGTGTCCAGGTATCACATTTCAGTGACCTGGTGGAGTGTCAAACTGTCGTGTCCAGGTATAACATTTCAGTGACCGGTTGGGGTGTCATGCTGTCGTGTCCAGGTAGAACATAATAGTGACCGTGTGTAGTGTCATGCTGTAGTATCCAGGTATGACATTATAGTGACCGTGTGTAGTGTCATGCTGTCGTATCCAGGTATGACATTATAGTGACCGGGTGGAGTGGCCTGCTGTCGTGTCCATGTATAACATTGCATTGACCGGGGGGAGTGTCATGCTGTCGTGTCTATGTATAACATTTCAGTGACCATGTAAAGTGTCAAGCTGTCGTGTTCAGGTATGACATTTCAGTGACCGGATGGAGTGTACTGCCGTCGTATCCAGGTATGATATTATAGTGACCGTGTGTAGTGTCATGCTCTCGTATCCATGTAATACATTTCAGTGACTGGTTGGGATGTCATGCTGTCGTGTCCGGATATAACGTTTCAGTGACCGTGTGGAGTGTCCTGCTGTCGTGTCCATGTATGACATTGCATTGACCGGGTGGAGTGTCATGCTGCCTTGTCCAGGTATGATATCATAGTGACGGGGTTGAGTGTTATGCTGTCGTGTCCAGGTATAACATTATAGTGACCGTGTGTAGTGTCATGCTGTCGTATCCAGGTATGACATTATAGTGACAGGGTGGAGTGTCATGCTGTCTTGTCCAGGTATGACATTATAGTGACAGGGTGGAGTGTCATGCTGTTTTGTCCAGGTATGACATTTCAGTGACCGGATTGAGTGTCATGCTGTCGTATCCAGGTATGACATTATAGTGACAGGGTGGAGTGTCATGCTGTCTTGTCCAGGTATGACATTATGGTGATCGTGTGGAGTGTCCTGCTGTCGTGTTCATGTATAACATTTCAGTGACCGGGTGGAGTGTCATGCTTTCGTTTCCAGGTATGCCATTTCAGTGACCTGGTGGAGTGTCACGCTGTCATGCTAGTTAGAAAGGTTTTTGACGCTGTTGAATAAGCTTTGATGATCGAGAGTCTATAGAAATGATGTAGGTATAATGTTTATTAGCTGGGTTAACGTTATTGAGCCAACGAATATTGAATTAACCATACAACCACAATCCGACGTTGGTACAACATGAGCATGATGTCGGTATTTACAAATGTACATTGTTTTTGAGATTGGTTATGAAGCTTTCCGAACTAGACCAGCTATAGTTAGGTTCTCTATATATTATATGGAGTTCTGTTATGGGAGTTTGGCCACTGTTTACAGAAGGTATATACGTTGTTTTTTTACGTACATGTAGTTTACCACGTTATCACCTGGACTACAATACTAACTTTTTTAAACACTAGTGCAGAAATACGATTCATTATCATATTTAAGCCTGCAACATAGATAATGTCGATAATAATACAAATATAATATATTTCCCAATGTTTTGTTAAAAGTGAAACTCATTTCAAAAGAAATCTCTCGCATGTGTTTTAAATGACAAGTTCCATGTTGAGACGGGAGAACATTATAAAACCACAGCGGTTACCTCCCTTTATATACCGTTGACGTTAAATTCCAATAGTTAGTAAGTCTTAAACTATTTTGAACGGTGCTTTTTTAAAGTTGTATATTTGTACCTGTGTGAATATTATATATATCTACTATAGAGTTGATAGAAATTTACACAATGTATGAAAAATAGTTCACTTTTGTAAGCCAACAATGGCCTAATATTTATATATGTCTATATAATGTCATTGTCATTTATATTGTAGCCGTTTTATGAGGTAGATGAGCGGTTTTATCAACCTCATAAATCATTTCGCCCAAGGAAGCTATATAGTTTACATACAAGTTTTCACTAAACGATCACTTCTGAATTTCACAGGTTAAGAAAATGTAATAAAGTATACATGTATCATTAGAAATGTTAGGAGAAAACCTCTTTACTCCCCACGATGCGTATTACAAGGAACGCCCGATTAGAAGGTTCGGACGAAATGGTGAAACGATTATTTCGAACGTCTACCTGTATACCTAAGAGACACTGTTTTACTGGTAGTGCGTGTTTAACACACCCTACCATTCTAGTTAAACAGTCTGTGATACCTTTGTAATCATTTTATAATCACCCATTTAAACCGCCGTAATTAGAAGCGTACAGTATGCACGCGACCAGTAATTATCTCCCATCTGTGAAGTTTCATTAGCAACATTTCCATGATGTTGGTTTCTATGGCGTCACGTGCGCAGTATTACCGTCCGCAAAATTACGCTTACATCGTTACAACGATAAAAAAATCTCTGATTTACAATCTACTATAAAGGCACAAAGTAGACAGGTAGGATATTGATGGTGTAGTTTACGACAAACAAATCAGGGTTGAAAACGTTTTCGAATATGAGTACAATAGAGGACGAAAGACATGCCGACTGTAGGACATATGTGTGCCATCTGCCCATCAGCAGTTAACTAAAACATAGCATTGTGCTATCTCGTAAACACGTTTTAATTACTCACACTCAATAGCCACTGTAAGGTTGTGGTAGAGCGCTACTGTAACACAATCAGGCGAGGACCAACCCCTCCCCACTATTTGGACGCGAGACACACTCCTCGTGTGGTTTCTATCGCAATTCCTTATCGTTTAACTATCGGCTTTATGTAATACGGATTCGTGTGGCACGGCGGCGACTCCAGGTCTATTGTTACCAGTCTCTGATTATTGTAACTAAATGTATGTTAACGCTTGCGTCATTTGGCTTTTTGATGAATTGACCGACATTTGATCAAGCTAAGGATTTGTATAGCAGTATATTATCGTATGCTTATAGGTCATCAAACGCCATCACTTCGTCCAGCGTAATTGTAGGTCACATTTGGCATGTTTGTGTACAAAGGTGTGAATTAACGCGTGAGTTGTCGAAACCATAACAATAGTGTAGTTTATGTGTAAAGTAACTTGGCCCAGTCGTCACCGGGACTCCGATAAATAACATCCGGTGTTCCCGAAGATTGCGGTGAAGGGTTGAACTGATCAAATTTAGATTGATATTGCTAGGGGAACTTCTCGATGCGTCTATGTGTTAAGCACCGGTATTAGTTGTGAGTATATGTATTTAGTTGTGAGTATATGTATTTAGTTGTGAGTATATGTATTTAGTTGTGAGTATATGTATTTAGTTGTGAGTATATGTATTTAGTTGTGAGTATATGTATTTAGTTGTGAGTATATGTATTTAGTTGTGAGTATATGTATTTAGTTGTGAGTATATGTATTTAGTTGTGAGTATATGTATTTAGTTGTGAGTATATGTATTTAGTTGTGAGTATATGTATTTAGTATATGAAATATAGAATTTAACATGATTTTCTATTTCATATGATATTACTGATCGTCACGTATTTAGCTGTGAATATATAAAAATATAGAATTTAACATGAATTTCCATTTCATATGAAATTACCGAT